GGACGAAGCTTGTGGCATTGTAACAGTCTTGCTTTGGATTTTTATTACGGTCTTTGCTGTTGCATTTGCTGTCGCGATTATTGCCTTCCCGGCAAACTTGTGCTTTTAGGGCAATGCCTGCGGTTTCTCCATCGCTGCTGTCCATCTGCCCTCCTACCTTCCTTTCGTCCTTCATCTCAACCTGCTGAGCTTCTCTCCAATTTTCCATCGCATGGCAGTATGGGCATGCGAGACACGGAACGCCAGGCGTCCCCCAACCGAGACGCCGAAAGACACGGCACGCTCACAAGCCACTCAAACAGCGTGAGCCTGCGGCGATGGGTGTCGTATGGTGTCGTTCTCAGTGAAGAGAAAATACACAGTCTCTGCCTCGAGCTGCAGTTGAACATGCTTAAGCCTCAAATGCTCTGGCCGGTAACTTGCGAAAAAAGTTCAAGCGGTGAGCCCGGGACAGCATGCGCAGTGGGGGCAAGGGACGGAAGCCACTGCTTCCAAGGACGCACCAGCGTTGCTTCGAGCACTGGCGCCCCATTTTGTAAGGACAGGTGCAGTTCTGCACTTCCTCAGACAAGCACGGCATCCTGCTCAGAGAGACGGCGCTGGGACACCTCAGATGCAGCTCGTGCACCCGCACGTCAAGCCCAAAGCTCTGGCACTGACTGGGAATCTGCGACGGCATGCTCCTGCGATGCCTCGCCTCCTCCGCCGCGGCCTTTGCCTTCGCGGCGGCCTCCTTCTTCTGCTCCTTGATCTTCGTCTGCTCCTCCTGAAAATGTCGCACAGCTTGCGACGCAACTCCATGGGATGTCACGGGCTCCTTATACTTTGAGAAGGCCCCCAGATCCACGTCGCTCTTGTCACTGCTCCAGTAGCCGTTCCTGGGCAATCTGCAAGCTGAGTTTGTGCTACGGCACTTGGAGTTACTTACACCTTGAAGTCGACGTCATCCAAGACCAAGAATCTTGAAAACGAAGAGGTACCCCACGCTGGCATCGTTCACGCATTTGTTGAAGGACTTCACGGCTGGGATTTTCTCCTGTGCTTGCACATGGGCAGGAAGAGCACACTGCTCTACAGGCTTTTTGAGCTGCTTTGGAATTCGGTCCACCCCTCTCTTCCTCTTCTTCCGGTCTAATCAACACTCATTCAACACTGCAGCAGCGGAGCCATTCCATCGAAGGTCAGAGCCCTCGGCAACAGGAGGCAGGGCTAATGCGACTTGCTCTGAACTACAACACTTGTCCCGGAATTCGGGCTGTGCCCGAAACTGCAAGTGGTGATGAAAACCATGCCTGCCTGGTTCCTGCTTCTTTGGGGAAACAAGCCAAATCTCAGATCACCTGACTGACACTTCGAACTTAAATTGCCAGTTATCCGATCACAATGCTGGCTAGCGTCTGCTTCTTGGCAGCTGCCTTTCCTCCGGTGGCAATGTCTGCGATGACATTCAGGCTGCCGAGCTTGACGGCGCGCTCCTCCTGAGACACAAGCCATGTTGCGCAGAACTGTGCTCCCAACCACCTTCGTTTGAATTGGGCAGCTCCCGCATTCACTCGAGCCAAAACAGCCTCTGAGAAGCTCTGGCCCTCATGCATCAAAACCCGCTGGTGCCCCCAGCCGCACCTTGATTAGGCCATTCAGGTCGCCTTCGTTGACCCTCGTCTCGCCTTCGCCGCACTTGTCCAGCGGGCCTTTGCCGATATACCTGGGTCACAGCCGCAGCAAGCATCCAGGCTAGGAGCCACAACGCAGGCTCTCTTAACAAGAGCCCAGGGTGCGCCAAACCTTCCAGGTTCTGCTGCAAAATCTGCTCAACGACGGCGATCCGCTCAACGACGCCGTACGTCGCGATCCTGCCCTGGGTCATGCCCACGACGTTGTCCTGGTGAAATGTGGCGGAGGCGCCGTGTTCATTGAGAAGCGAGGCAACCACCTTCAAAGCGGAACAAGAAGATCTTTGCAACGACCCTACAGTTGCCTATGCCTCTGCTGCCGAAGCTCCATGCACATTTGGGCAGGCACGCAATTTGCGGCATAGCTGTGGTCAGCATGAGCAGTGTTCTGAAAGACCATGAAATAGGAGCCTCGGCATACATGTAGATACTCTGCTGGGACCTGGGGAGGAAAGCACTCCTGCTCCTGGTAGTGGTTCGAACCAAGAAGCACTCAGGATTGGCCTGACTTGATGTCTCATGTTCCCCTATTCTGCGGCAGGAAGTGTACTTGAAAACCTCCTCTGCGATCTCAGCCTTCGAGCCGTAGACCCTCGGTGGGCGAGCTATCACATCTATGAAGCAGGTTTATCAGGTCGCGCGGATCCATGTTTATCGTCATGGAGGTGAAAGGGTTGAGGACCTCATACGCAAAAAAAGGGCAAAGGTTGCTGGGAGCGCATCTGAGCGCGAATTCGTGTTGACGTCGTTCTCCACCTGCTCCGCTTCACCTGCCAGCTTCGGCACCACTGGGGTCAGGTTTTAACATCGGGATCCCTGCTCTGAAAACAACGCCGCTTACGAAAACCAATTCGCGCGGCCGACACTCCCATCTGATGGAAACAATGATGAACGCGATGCTCGTCATGATTGTCTCGGCGAGTACCACCAGAGACACTTGAGGTGGGGGGCAAGGTTTCGTACACAGGTGCCCTAACGACCTGCAAACTCCCGGACCGCAAGACGAACCCAAGCTGGCCAAGCTTCGAAATAACGAGCACAAAACAACTTCCGACCAGATGCCTGGAGCGCTGCAACACTCTCCCATCATTTCGAGCTTGCCATACCGAGGGCTTGCCTGACATTGTGACTCTTGGAGGCAATTCCCATCATGCAATATCTCTGTAGACCGACGTTGCAGCCTTGCTCCGTGCGCGCTTTTCGACAAACGACCGACCGGCAGCATCGTCAAACTGATGACCGAGACTCCCCAAAACCTCACCCTCATGGCGCAAGCGACACGACACCTCAACTTCAAAGTTGCACTGACAATTCCCTACACCGGAAGCAACATGCCCGCATGGACCTGGCGCAATGAGTCAGCTTTGTCCTCAGTCGGTGCTTGTCGGTTGGGTCTCGGCCCAAAGGCCTACATTACGTCTATGAGGAGTGACCCCAAGGACAGGGATTGGATCGGAGTCTGCGATCCTGGATTTTGCGGACGCTGGGGATCGGGGTGCGTGAGGTCCCGCAAAAACACTCGAAACCCCGAGCCGCAGGTGACCCCAGCCCTCCGTCCTTGAAGTTCATCCCAGCAAACTCCTGCCAGGCAAGGGGAGCGAGGTATCTACTAGATAGTTTCAGAATTTCTGACAACTATCAGTAACTATCGTAACGCTGTCGCGTTTATCGCCATAGTTCCGGACAAAGCACTTGCTACAACGTGCCAACTCGAACAATTCCCGGCGCCTGCCCCGTGAGAGAAGTCGCTTCGCGCAAGTATGCATCGCACAGCGCGATCAGTGCAAACGGAACGAGGCGGCCAAGCATGACCTGAGTCTTGCGGCCGAATCCTTGTGCTGCGGATCCCGAACAAAAGCTTTGGACATGCTCAAGAACGATCCGCCTGAGGACACATCGACACAGCAGAAGTCGAACCCACTACAACGACAGCCTCACTGCTCCAGCCACGAGGCTTCCGATCCGGAGTCGACGTCGAGGCTTCCAGCCGGAGAACAAGAATCAAGTCTTGAGCAGCACAAAAAGCCGAGGCCGCAAGGCAAAGCCGGCACTTGTGTGTTGCTTCTGAGCACATGAACAACCACGCAAAGCCTGTATATGGCGAAACCCTATGGTCTGTCAGGGCCGGTTATCGAATAGATTGGCAAGGGCCCAGTTCAGGAGTTTCAAAGAGTACAGGACCCTAGCTCAAACCCCACACATAGCTAGATGTACACCCATACCGACATCTAGCCTGCTTGCCTCCTCGCAGAATCTATGTTCAACCTTCTGCTCTGCAGCAAAGAATTTGCCGAAGCCACCCACCCGGATAAAGGTTGTCCCCAGAGAGCCCAATACCCCTTAATTAAGGAATTTACCTTAAATCATAATGTTAAGGCCCCTATTATTTTTGGCATATTGCTTATTTAAGGGGTATTGGGCTCTCTGGGTCTGGGCTTCAGACTCAAGTTGGATAGTCTTTTTTGGAGCCCGCTTGGAGACGCCTATGTACAGCCGCGGGGGGCGGGGGGGGGGGAGGGGGCAATGCGAAGCAGCCGATGCAAAGCTGGATTTCGTCACATCGAAGTTCTTTGAATACAGTGCCCGTGCTAAGACTAATCTTTTTCATGTGGATGAAGCTTCTGCGAAGAGCTTTGGGGATTTCAGAATGCTTGAGCAAAACTAGCCGTAGCAAGTCCTGATCCGACAACTTAGACGTCTTGGCGCCCAGGAGGCATCCTATAGTGTTTTTGATGGGTTCTTCCCATCAGGGGACCCTAACAGCAGGATCCTACTATTTGGGGTCTGCAAAACGGTGCCGTTCTAGGAACTCGGCTTTCGATGCTCAGAGATCGAAATCAGAACCTCACGAACCTACGGGAGAGGCAGCTGTAGGCGCACCTCTGGCACCCGAAGAAGCACGACAAGAACAATCCTACCCTAGCGACGCATCAACACACTAGCTATGCCAACAGTGATGACGGTAATGATGACAAAAGAATACTGGGTCAGGCTGCAGACTGTGAGTTCTCGCTGTGCAAGGCTCGGGTCTTTTGGTTTATCCCTACTGAGAATAACAACATCCATAGTGGCAGTTCAAGATCTCAGTGGTAGCGATACAGAAAACCTGCGATAGCAACACAGCGGTCAACCCGTTAATCATGCTTCGAAGATGATGACAAACACTCAGCTGACGCGAATCTGAATATATACTTAATATACTACAACTAGAACTGTGCGAAGGATGTTCCGAAAACGCAAAGCCCCCGACTTGCACAATCCTGGGAATAAAGACTAAGTACAGCTGCTGGGCTGCCGAGATGTGCAATCCTGCTTTGCACGGCTTCACCCATGTCCTAGCTATGTGGCAGCGAAGGGAGTCTTTCCACCTCGCAAGCCGTGAAACGGTCGACAAACTTAGGATTCCAGGTGTCGGATAGAAGCTCGAGTGCTTCCAAGGTATCGCAGCGACTGCATCACTAAATCAGCCAGCTCACCTAGCGCTTCATGCTGTTCCAATTCGCAGAATGCGCCGTACGGAGGAACCTGAGCCCATGACTGAAGCAAGTGGGTTTAGGGTTTAGGGTTTAGGCCGAAGCATCCCACTGTCGTTGCTTTCTCTGCCTGCCGACGTTCTTGCAACTGCCACTGCCACTAGCCCTGCTTTGCGGCTCCTTCAGGTGCGGCTTGGTGATGTGGCCTTGAGGCTCCGCATTTCCTTGATAGCCCCATATCCCTCAGATTCTTTGTCCTCCGGTTTGACATGCGCCTTAGACCTGATACCCCTCAAACCCTACTTCCCGAACCACCTCTGAACAAACCACGGTGACAAGAGCCAGACATCGCCACCTGCCTTGGTGCAGAAACCTGAACGCAAAGTGCTCGGGATTGGAGAGGTTTAGGCTTTGCAGTTTTGGCCCCGGGTGGCAAGGGAAACTCTGCTCTTATCGTGTGCAGCACGCAGGTCCTGTTCCTGCCAAGAGCTGCAAACAGCCAGCAGGCTCTCACAAATCACACCGAGACTCCGTTCTAATCCGAACGTTTAACCACACTTAGCCTCCATCAAAACCCCGAACCGTCCACCATCACCCCTGGTGTCTACACAAACCATCCTACACAAACGGCCCTGTCCCCCCAATTTCGGGTTTGTTAAGGATACTAACAGGATATGGGTAGTTCTCTAAATTAGGGTCCCTTTTAGGAAAAAACTAAGGGTTTAGGGTTCCAGGGCTCCGCCTGCTTGGGCGATTCGACTGCTCGCCGCTCTGCCTCTGCCAGCTGCCACAGATTTTGGGTCTTGGGATGGGGTTTAGGTTTAGGGTTTATGGTTTAGGGATGAATAATAAGAACAATAGCATATAAACCAATAAAACCCAGACTGACGACAACACAGTTATTGATAATAGTACCGGTCCAGAGCGTAGCAGATGGAGCGCTTCAGCGCCGCGAGAACGATGATCATGGTTTCTGTCGTTCGTGGAACTGCACCCACATGGGAACTGCGGTAGTAGCACTTACTTTTTGTAGCCTTTTTGTAGCTTTAGATGGCAATTCTATCTAGAACCCAACACCCCTGATAGCAGCCCATATTAAAGATCCTCAACCCGAGAAGAACGATGCATGATGCGGAGCCTTCCTTGCAGCGTGCCGGGCTGCAAAGATGTGGGAGAGATTCATCTCCTCAGATTCAGCTGCGAGGAACTCGAAACAGTTGCATGGTCGAGGCCTGGGCTACTAGAAAAGCGGTCAGGCCGGGCCGTAGTGCCACCAGACTCTTGCAGCAGCTGTTACCACCACCGACACCGCCGCCACGACTACCGATACTACTGCTACTGTGCTGGCACATGCTACAGTACTACATAGCACTAGCTGCACCTGCTGCTGCACCCGCTGCTGTTGCTGCTAGTGACAACACTTCTTCCAATACTTCGACGGACGAACAACAACAATGACTCGTGTGTAGCCCTTCTAGCAAACCGAATGGGAGCCCTAATACAAACCCTTATTATTGTATCCCTCATAACGGCCCTAACCAGATCGTAGCCGTCATAGTCTGCACCCACAGCGCAGCCCCACGTGGGTCCTTCGGCCGCGGCGAGGACACCTGGGGAAGGTACCGAACAAAAGGTTTCCCATCATGGCAACAAGTTAGGACAAGTGCCAGGGCCATGAAACTGAACAGCAGTGCGTGGCGGAGAGTGCGGAGTTCACGGGGTTTCGAGGTTTCCTGGCAACTGCCCTTCGCCTCTAGGTTCGCATGGGATTGGGAAGCCAGGGGCTTCTTTTGGGTGCGGGTGGACCCAGTTAGAGCGGAGCCGAACCAAAGAAGAAGCCTCGAATGGCTAGTCGTCGAGACCTGAGTCCCGACGACACTTTGTGGAGCCAGCCTTGAGGATTTGGGCGTACACGCGCGTACAGGAAGGGTTCCGTTGCCTTTGCGGCTTCTCCCAAACAGGCAGAAGCTGGAAATCCGCACCCTTAAACCCTCCAAGCAGTGTTTGTCTCGGGCCCAAACCTGCGGCTCTTCCTCCTCTTCTTCCTGACATGCTGCTTTCTTTGCTTCAATGGCTCGCTGCTCATTTCAGTCAAGACGCACCCCGAACCTAGCAGTAGGCGCTTCTTCCCCATGGGTCATGGTTACACGCAGCACCTCCTACTTCGATTACTGCTACCAGCACTGGTAGCACGACTACTATCTACAACAAATACCAGGCACCAAAACCAGTGCGACCATAACCACTACGACCACTACGACCTCTACGACCACTACGACCGCTACTACCACTACCACTGCTGCCACAACTACTAATAATTACCAATACTGCTGCTGATACTGCTACTATGATGATGACGGCGACGATGATTATGATGTCGTTGACGAGCGCAGTCTTTTCGCCAGCTGGTTTACTAAGCGGGCCGGGTCGGCCGCAGGCTTCAGGCACACCAGAGGCTGGCGCAGCTTCTTCATGACCTCACTGTAGAGACTGCAGGCTTTACGTTCGGCTCCTATAGCCTATAACGACCACGATATATGCCATAACGATTGGACCACAGGACCCCGATTCACGATCCCCATCTCGAGAATTGAGGGCCGCCAGCCAAGCTCCTGATAAACAACATCCAAGTGAAAACACAAATGCCAATACCCTGATCGCCGAGTGCTACGATCGCAGGTACATGCCAACGGTTCAGAGTAGCAGCACCAGGGGAAGGCTTGAATGGGCAGTCCAGCAGGCAACATGCAAGCAAACATGAGCTCTTGGCTTTAGCAGGCATGAGACCTCGATTTTTGCATCTGAGTTGCAGAGTCTGCTCGCTGGTGGTTCGTGTTGGTCACAGTGAAATCCACCTGCCATGCTGCATGCCCCCCCATGCGGGGACCCTCGGCAGAACGATTAGCAACATCACTTCGCCTGAAACTTCTGCTCGTACCTGTACTCATACTCACATACCTACTCTGCCCGTCCGACTCGTGCTGTTGCTGCTACAGATCAGCAGCTGCAGCAACAACAACGACAAGAACAAGAACAAGAACAAGACCAGTTGCTCCTTCCTTCTCCTCCTCCTCCTCCTTCTGCAGTGCTGCTGCCAACATACCCAGCAGCACCCCCAATCCTCTTGGTTCTGCGGTAGTCTCTTTGCAACATCGCTGAGCCTTGGCGCTGCGCATGCGCCGCGTCACGAACTCCGCCAGAGCATCTGCCTCGGCTGAAGGTCCTTACCCTTCGCCTTTGTAGTCCTCATATGTTCATCAACAACCACAACGACAACGTTACCAGCAGAACAATGAAGTGGCAAGTCTTCTCCCATGAATACTGCTACGTAGTATC